CGGACGCTTAACCGACTGCGCCACCCAGGCGCCCCAAGTTGAATATAATTCTTATCTTAGGTCCTCTCTAGGTAAGCTGTTCCCAACCCTCCCCACCCTTCCCCCTGGCTTCTTTCAGGACTTTTTCTTTATCATTGTTTTTTTCTGCAGTTCAAATATGATCTGCCTGCTTGGTGTTTTCGGAGCTTCCTGGATCTGTTGTTTGGTGTTTGACATGAATGTGGAAAAATTCTCAGTCATTGTTGTTTCAAGTATTTCTTCTGTCCCTTTCTCTTTGTCTTCTCCTGGTAGCCTCATTAAACATATGTCATCTTTGGTATCTTGTTCCATTTTCTTTAGTCTTTTTTTCTTTCCTGTTTGCTTTTCAGTTTTGAAATCTTGTATTGACGTATCCACAAGTTCAGAGACTCTTTTTTTAATTAAAAAAATTTTTTTTTAATTTTTGAGAGACAGAGAGAGACAGACCATGAGCAGGGAGGAGCAGAGAGAGAGGGAGACACAGAATCGGAAGCAGGCTCCAGGCTCCGAGCTGTCAGCACAGAGCCCGACACGGGGCTTGAACCGTGAGATCATGACCTGAGCCTAAGTCAGACGCTTAACCGACCGAGCCCCTCAGAGATTGTTTTTTTAGTGGGCCAGTGTACTAAGGAGCCCACCAAAGGCATTCTTCATTTCTATTAGAGTGTTTTGGACCTCTACCGTTTCATTTTTATTCTAAGTATTTCTCTCATTCTGCTTACAGTTCCTGTCTGTTCTTGTATGTTGTCTACTTTCAGTAGAGCATGTTACATAGTTATATTAAAATCCTAGTCTCATTAATTCCAACATTCCTGCCATATCTGACCATGGTTCTAATGTTTTCTCTGTGTCTTCAAACTGCGTTTTTTGCCTTGTAGTACGCCTTGTTGCTTTTTGTTGAGAGCCAAACATGATGTACTAGTTGAAAGGAACTGCAGTAAATAGGTCTTTAGTAATGTGGTGGCATGGCATGGGGGGGCAAGGGCAGTATTCTGGAGCCCAGTGATTAAGTCTCAGTCTTTTGGTGAGTTTATGTCTCTGGATTACGAACTTCACCAGTGCTTCTCAAGCAGCTTTCCTCCCTTAGGTGGGACAGGAAGGCTAGAGGGACTGGGATAGGGTATTTCCTTTCCCCTAGGTGGGTTAGGCTCTGATGAAAAACCCGATAGATCAAGCTCTGGTCAAATAGTTTCTCTCTTGAGGGCAGACCTTGTTAGGATGAACAGAATGCTGTGGCGTATTTCAAGATGGCTCCCCTTCCTTTCCCCCTTCTGAAGTGGGACGGAGATTTTCCTCCTACTTCACTGAGACAACCTGGTGGCTAGCGGAGGTAAAACAAAAGATGGGCGGGCTGTCCCGTGACTGGGTCCCCTGGGGTTTTCAACTCTCAGACTGGGCCACGCTGAGCCCCCCAGCAATTCGGTCACAGTTCGGATTCTCCTGCCCTGCTGCTGAGTTCCGCAGAGGCCTCTGCTCATGGGTTTCTGCTCCAGCAAGTTTGATTTTCAGTGTCCGCTTGTCTGTCTCTCCAGTTCTGGGGGTAGCATTGTCCCCTGTGACCTCAATTCCCTGAGAAGAAGAGTTAGTTGTTTTTTTTTTTTTTTTCCCCAGTTAGTTCAGCTAGTCTGCTGATTGTTAGGCTGGAGTAATGACTTCCAAGCTCCTTAAATGCTGGCCCAGAAACCAGAAGTCCTGTTGCTTATTTTTCGATAGAGACATTATAGCTACATATCGTCTGCCTTAAGGGCATCCCGTGAGTGTTTTTACGTTGTGTTTTCTTTTTTTGTTCATCTCAGGGCAGTTGCTGACTTCCTTTGGGGTGCCTAAACTTTCTATGGGGGGGAGGAAAGCATCGCCAGCCCGTCACTGGATTAATTTCAGGGAGCAGTGGAATCTCCAGGCCTCGGGATTTGTTTCCACTAACACCTTTCGATAGTGGTTTCTGAGGAAGACAGGAACTGAAAGGAGACAGAAGTGGCTGAGGAGAAGGCCGTGTGACCTCAGTCCTCGCTTCAGAAGCCACCCTGTGGGCGGCTTCCCTCTAAAGCAGGGATTCTGACCTAGGGCCAGTATTGTCCCTCGGTGACACTGAACAATACCGGGACACGTGTGTCATCGCCAGGCTGGAGCAGGGGTTGGCTAGTGGCGTCTAGCATCTCTCGGGTAGAGGCCAGGGATGCTGCTAGGCATGCTGTAACGCACAGAGCGCCCCCTCAGAGCGGACAGTTATCTGGTCTGAAATGTCAATAGCGCTGCCGTGGAGAAACCTTTTCTTGCCCCCTTACGTTGGTGGGACTGTCTCCTGCTCACTTAGCACCTACCTGTCCAATGTCTCAGTGCCTCTTCACAATGGTCCCTGAGGTAGGTGAAATGTCACAATCTGAGGTGAGGCGGGTAAAGCCTTAAAACTGTAGCCAGGCTGTCAGTCGGGAGCAGAGCCCGGACGACCACCCTCCAGTCCGGTTGTGTCCCCCCAAACGCCCACAGTCGCCCGGGCCTCCGCTCGCCTTGCTCACTCCACCTTTCGAAGGCAGATCGTCATGGACTGTCCTGTGAGTACACGTCCCAACTAAGAACGCCTCACGCTGTCTGGCCCTGCGAACGGAGTGGAAGCTCCCGGCAGGCCGCGCGGCATTCGGCCCAGAGTAGGCGTTCGGTACATGTTTGTTGAATGAATTAGGAGGTAGGAGAGAAAAGGTACGAAAATGTTAGCTTGCGTGTCTCGAGGAGCTTGAAGGGAAGGTTGGAGCTGCCCCCGGAAGAGGCTGGGGGACGGACCGGGCCCCTAGCACTGGTGGGGCAAGAGAGACTGTGGACCGTACGTGGGTTGTTTTGCCCAGAGGATTTTAATTTGGTTTTAATTCATAACACCGGTAGGCTTTGTTTCCCTTGCCAAATTCCTCACACTCCTGCTTCCTCTTCCCTTTGAATCGTTCATCCCAGCACCTTTTATACCTTTTTTGAAAGACTAGGTTTAACTCTACTTAAAAATTCACCGTGGCCTCAGATTTTTGTCCCCTAAAGGTCTTACCAAAAACATAAAGACATTTGACGGCATTTGACGTCCATTTTCATTAAATTATCCTGACATTGAATCTGCACATTCTAAGGTGGCTGGTCTCAACGTTCTCCTCCATAAAATGGGAATAATGATCCTTTGTTAGCTAACTGAGCCCTTTCCCGAGGATCAATGATTTAAGCACACAAAAGCATTCTCTTTCTCTCTCTCTCTTTTTTTATTAAATATATTTTACTGTCAAATTGGTACCCAAACAAAAGCATTCTCAACAGTACTGTGTAAATGGCCAGGCCCCTCCGGTTATGGGTGACTTTGAAAAATTGTATTCATATGACTTATGCAATATAACCATAATCATTAAAGTAGTTTGCTAGAATGAAACAAAGGGCATTCAGATTTTGTGCTTCTCACTTACAGTGCTAGCCTCATAATTTGGTTAAAAGCTCTTTCTTACCTGGGACTGTCCTGACAGATACAAGACCCTGACCTTTGTTTCTCCATAGGTGTTACAGAACATTTTGGACACGGAAAAGGATTATGCTAAAGAACTTCAGTCTCTACTTGTCACTTACTTAAGACCCCTGCAGGCCAATAACAAGTAAGATTTACGTTTTAAACCCGTTGCTAAATAAAGCAAGATAATGTCAGCATCGAGTCATTACTCTTATGTCACTGAATAATTGATTTTGCCCTTTAGAAGAATTTCCACAGATCACAGGTTGCCAAGAAACACGGTCAAGGCAACGGAAATTACGCAAGACGTTGCTGCTGGAGAGCTTGGCTTTCTGTCTCTTTGGGCTGTGGAAGGAATGAACGGATCCGCATTTCTGTCTGTCACAATTTTTATCTTGTACATCCTAAAAGCGACACATGCGGTTTTACCTTGCCCCAAGAGGGCCTGCTGGTGTTTCTATGCAGCAAACATGTAAACTGGAAAGTTTCGTGCTCCCCGTGACCTTTTCTTGCTAGGGCAGAAACTCTTTCCCGCGGTCTGAGAGCGGAAAGAGTGTGGCATTTTGTGAATGTTCATAAGGGCACTTCAAGCCTGTATTTCAGCCAGGCAAAAAGAGAATGATAGAGATGTTAAAATGTTTTTGTTTTTGTTTTTGTTTTTAAACAAAACATTCAAACCTTATTCTGGTCTTCGAAGTGACTGTCTGAGGCTGGAATTGAAAACTTAGTCTTCGTGAAAGAAAAATATCGACCGCTCATTTTGGGTGTGTGTGTGTGTGTGTGTGTGTGTGTGTGTGCGCTTCTAGAATAGCATATTAAACAGTGGCTAACTGCATTTGTTTGTGTTTATATCTTACTTGATTACCCTTTACTGGAGATTACGATCTATAAGTCAAATAGAAAATGTAGCAGTTGGCCCATGTAATGGGGGACAAAAGCCTCCTCTTTTTCCTCGGGAAGAGTTTACTTTTGCTGGACAGCTGCCTAAAGTATTGGGCTTCAGTCAGGGAAATATGTTTCATATATTTCACGATTTTTCTCCCTTTTTTCCACATCATGTTTGCTAAGGCGTAAAGCCTGGCTGAATTTCCCAATTGGGAATTTTCCACGGCACTATGGGAATATTACTCCAGCGTGAAAGGATTTTATAGTCCTATGTTTTGTAAGAGCTTAAACGCGATCAACAACAAAGTGTCCTTTGTTATTATTATGTAAAGCACGAAGTGAATTCTGTGAATCATGCTTCTTTGAGCTGAATGGAAGGAACCCCAGTGAATCACTGGGTCCAGCGCCCGGGAAGAAATCACCATCCCCATTGAACACATAAGAAAACTCAAGTCCAGAAGGGCTTACTGCCGTACCCATCACACAGCCAGGAAGTGGCCACGCTTGACCCACTGTGCCTCCTGCCACCAGTGACATGTGCCTTCCGTTTCGCGGAGGTGACAGGCAGAGGCAGGACACGGAGGCGGTGACCCTGGGAGGGGAGATGGTGAGATTTCAAATGAAGGAGTGACTGATTAGCAAGCTAGAAACAGTAAGAGGAAAGGGAAGCTGGCTGGCTGAAGGTTTTGCTTTTGACTCCCCATCATAGGGGTTTTCCAGCGTGTGGTTCAGGAGGGCGATGGGGCAGAGAAGCTGGCAGCTTTTTATGCCCGAGGGGTTTCGGGTAACGTTTGTTTGGGTGTTCCTTTTCTTTGTCAGCAAAAATGACTCTCTGGGAAACACGCCCCTGGTATTAATACATGAAGAAGAAAGGCCTTTTAAGTCTTCAGAAAAGCCTCCTCCCCGAAACGGTCTAAGAGCATGGACTCTGGAGCTAGAACGTTTTGATTGGCATCCTGGCTTCACCCTTCACTGGCTTTGTGACTCCGGGCGATTTGCTGGACCTCTGTGCCTGGGTTTCCTGACCTGTAAAACGGAAGCAACAGGGGCGCCTGGGCGGCTCAGTCCGTGAAGCGTCCGGCTCCGGCTCAGGTCATGATCTCACAGTCCGTGAGTTCGAGCCCCACCTCGGGCTCTGGGCTGACAGCTCCGAGCCTGGAGCCTGCTTCCGATTCTGGGTCTCCCTCTCTCTCTGCCCCTTCCCTGCTCATGCTCTGTCTCTCTCTGTCTCAGAAATAAATTTAAAAAAACAATTAAAAAATTAATTAAAAACGGAGGCAACAGTCCCTACCTCATAAAGTTGTGGGCAGGTTACGATGCGTTATGTGTGAAACACCCGCCTCCGTGTTAAGTGCCGGGTGAGTGTGGTTGGTGCTTCTTGTTACCACGTACTGTCTGGTAGGGGAGGAATGGACAGAAGTCACAGCGCGGAAGCTCTGGATAAAACTGTTCCGTTTGCCTTTATCTGCCCCGTTCCACTCCACAGACAAATCAATACTAGTTTCTTCTCCTGGACCTCCTCTCCTAAACATTTCCTTTCGTTGATTTATGAGCATTGCAAATTGGGAGAAACTGGGTTTTGTGATTTTTCCCCTGTGCATTCTGCGAGCATATATACTATCCTTTGATTGCTCTCCCAGCGGCTCTAGAGGACTCAAAATGCTTTACGTTTATCCCCCGTTATGATGCATTTTGCCTATTAAGATATTTAGATAGTATGCAGTTGTAATTCGTTCACTTGTTGCACTGTAAAATGCCTAAATGGCTTTTATAAACCCTCGTTTGCTTGACGATCATTATTCTTACTGCAGGATAAGAAAATCAAGGAAAGACGCTTTCACTTTTATTTTTTTTTAAGTTTATTTACTTATTTTGAGAGAGACAGAGACAGCGTCGGGGGGCGGGGCACAGAAAGAGAGGGAGAGAGAGAATCCCAAGCAGGCTCCATGCTGCCAGTGCAGAGCCCGACGCTGGGCTTGAACTCACGAAACCGCGGGATCACGACCTGGGCCGAAACCAAGAGTCGAACGCTTAACCAACTGAGCCACCCAGGCACCCCAAGTAAAGATGCTTTTACAAGTTGTTTAAGAACACGGACTTGGTGTAAATTAAAAAGCGAAAGTTAAAATCTAGGGGTTGCTTCCCTTGTCCCCTTTGCCAGTTATTAGCAAATCATCAGCTCGCTAGACCAGAGATAGATAACTAGAATCATCCTTAAATTCTAGCCACTGAAACTATGTATGTTTTTTTTTTTTTTTT